ACCAGTCCTCACCCGACGAACACATGCCACAAAATGACAGCTGTCAGCTGTGACATCACGACTGGGTCCACCGATTTGGTTTGAGTTGGCCGTGATCCAAGAAGACTCACAAGTGTCGGCCAAATGTCAACAAATAGGAGGAGCTAGTAGTGACATCACCATTTGGCTGTCACCTGTGGGTCTTCCCAGGTCACAGCCAAATCAAAACAAATAGGCAGATGCGGCCGTGACGTCACTGCTAGTTCCGCCGATTTTCTCAGGTCAACGTTCCCCCTTATCGCATAGTAAAAATAAATGTAAGGCATTAACCTCCCAAACAGTGACAAGGACGCCCATCCCTAAAAGCAGAGGCAGCAGTGCTGCGCATGGATGCTGCCAAATTGCTGTGCGGTAAATCGGTTAAACCAGAAGCACCACAACCCCCCCAAATCATTATAGTTTAAATAAAAGCTAGACAATCGCACACGAAAAAATAGACATGTCTAAGAGAAGCAAAATCCACTGACTTTAATGGGATTTGTGGTTCACAAACCTGTGTATGTTTTTCCCTTGGAGAGTAGAACCTTGGTAGATTTACTCATCATTACATCTGATTATAGTATCCCCCCAAGTCATAGAACTTGATGTGTTCTCTGATCCATACAAAAATAAAGGTTTAGAACTTGCACATAGGGAGTGTTGGGATATGTATGTATGCAATAAGGAGCATACTCAGTATGGAAACAGCCTGATATTTGAAAACCATGATCCACTTTTATTAAGAGTTGTCATTGGCCAGCTTGACATGATCACCAAGCATTTTCAACTACAGTAATTATTTAGCAATAGACAAGAGTACATCCATACATATATAACCTTTTTACAGGTAAAACAAAAAAGCAATCAGTTTTTCCCTTTCATGTTTTAAGGATAAAAGCTCATTGATTATTGTTAATAAAAACAGCAGTTGTTCAACACATACAACTCTAATTGCATACATTCGAAAGATTTTGCTTTAAAATCCAAGTACAGTAGATGTCACATTAGAGTTTTGTGGTCTGACCCAAGAAAAGACACATATCTTTCTTTCTCCCCCAATCATTTAACATGATGTAAGCATTTTACTATACCGGTCATATGGAGAATTACATCTGTTTAACTTGGGACTGTTCCTGGAAATGGTACTTCCCGGTGACGTGTTTGCACGCTGAAAACAACAACAAAAATGTATCCAGTAACATTCCTGTTTGTAGAAAAATTTGTAGAAAAAGAATGTTGGCAGCCCAAGCCCCAACTAGAACCTCTGTTTAGAAGCAGCTTGCTAACACTCTATTCCACATTCTTCACAATTACATGTAAACTACAGTTCAATATACTACTTGTTCAGGTAACTGGTAGAATTTGCACCTAAGCATCAATTATATGGTAAATTAGTCCCAATTTCACAGGTAATACGTTGTGCCCTTTGTGACCAAAGTCATTCCAGTCAAAAGGTTTTAATTGGGTTTTTTTAAGATTCTATTATAGCTAAATTATTCTTGGGCACAGTGAAAAGGTCTATCTCTTTCTGCCATTAAGAGTAATGGATCAATAGAGATAGAGAGACAGATTTTTGTGACAAAGCATTATTTTTGCAGGGAATCTAAGGCAAATCTGAGAGATTCTAGTGAAAGAAGTTATCCAAAGTTAAAGCAGGAAACATTTCTTTACCACTATTAATACACTATTCGTATTCTGTCTATCCCCTTGATGGTATCATAAGTACAATAAAACAATCAAAAACTTTTGTGAAATACTTAAAGGTGAACTGAACTCTGGAAGCAGTTCATATCACCACATCAAACAACGTTTCAGAACCTCTCCGGTCCCTTCATCAGGCAAACAAAGTGATAAAGACTTCTCAATTTTAGGTAGGTGGTCATAATGTTATGGCTATTCGGTACATCAATAAATCTACAGTATATATATATATTTGTATATATTGCGATGTTTGGGGATATTAGCATATATGGTGAGCGCTTAAAAGGAGAACTATGAGGTGAGTGCTTTTCACTCACCTCATAGTTCTAGCCGACCTGTGACAATGAGACTGTCACAGGTCGGCTCAGTAGATCGGGAGGTCACCTCTCGATCCTGTCACGGCTCTCTGCCGTGACAGGGGAGGGGCTGGATTTCCCCCCTCCCCGCTCCGATCCGCCAGCGTTGACTAGCTGAACGGACGGGGCAGGGGGCGGGTACAGCTGGCTCTGCCTCTAGATAGGCAGAGCCAGCTGTTAGTCACGCAGCTGGGCGGATCCCGGCATAATTGCCGGGATCCGCTTCAGTGTCCCAGTATACCGCGAGCAGCAGACCGCGGTATACTGCAGCGTCTCAGTATACCGCGAGCTACAGCTCGCGGTATACTGAGCCTAGGGTGGCGGGAGGACGCTAGCTTGTGTCCTCCCGTTACCCTAAGGAGAACTATGGGGAAAAGCCTTAACCCCATAGTTCTCCTTTAAGGATGCAGTCCCCTCGCAATACCTTCTGTTTAAGGGCTTGGTGGCCCACTTTTAGTGTAATGAAAGTATATACCTCCACCATGAATACCCTCGCAGGGGTTGTTCAGCATAAGATTCTATTCAATACTTGCAACATAACACAAGTTTAGCCTCCTGGCTTCCACTTTAAACATTAGCACTTCTGACCCACTGGTCCTCTTGGAAGTGTTGTTCCACACTTGTAGTGGCGATGTTCTATCAAAGTTTGTGTCTGCGTTAGAATGTGTGATCGGTGATGTGGTCACACAATTTAACGTAATCCCGCCCACTTTTTCAGCGGTGGAATGTGTGACCGGTCACGTGGTCACACAATTTAATGTGATCCCGCCCAGTTTTTAATTTCAGGACCCATCAGCTGTTCCAGGGCAGATCGGTTCTCCTGCACATACAATCTTCGATGCCGATCTGCCCTGGAACAGCTGAGAAAGGGTTGGAATTCTTTACCTTTTGCAGGTCACATATTCCACATAGCTCTCCTAGCCTCACCAGTTCTCTCCCAGCCTCCCTGGCTGTTTTTGTGTGCCTCCAGCACACACACCACCTGACTCCACTTTCATTTATGGGGGAATTCCTATCCCAGTAGGAGCTCACCTGACTCCTCTCTGACTTCTGTGGGAGTCCTCCTGACCTCTGAACACAGTCTGTTCCTATTTCCCTGCAGGAGCTAATTCCTCTAGCCAGCATCTTTACCTTAAGGGCTGTGCACACGTGCAAACATCGGGTGCTGGTCACTGCTAAAGCCTGGACCCAGGACTGGAGATCTCATCCCTTCTGAATCACTTTGAAATCTCCCAGTTCCAGGATCCCAAGCAGAATCCAGACAACCTCTGCTTCCTAATAACACCCAATTCTACAGTGGGATTGCCACACAATACCACAATATATACACTAAAAACACCTGCCTAAAATTGAGTAGGTCTCCCTTATGCCACCAAAACAGCCTTGACCCGTCTAAGCATGGACACACCACTAGACCTCTGAAGGTATGCTGTGGTATCTGGCATCAAACCATCAGTAACAGATCCTTTAAGTAATGCAAGTTGTCAGGTGGGGCCTCTATGGACTTGCTTCTCCAGCACATCCCACGGATGTTCGATTGGATTGAGATCTGGAGAAATTGAAAGCCAAGTCAACATCCCAAACCCGTTGTTGTGTTCCCCAAACCATCCTTGAACCATTTTCTCAGTGTTACAGGGCAGATTATCCGGCTAAAAGAGGCCACTGCCATCAGGGAATACCTTTCCATGAAGCAACAATGCTTAGGTAGGTGGTACATGTCAAAGTATGATGAATGGCAGGACCCAAGGTTTCCCAGCAGAACATTGCTCAAAGCATCACACTGCCTCCGTCAGCTTGCCTTCTTCCCATAGTGCATCCTGGTGCCATCTCTTCCCCAAATAAGCAACATACATGCACCCAGCCATCCACTTGATGCAAAATAAAGCATGATTCATCAAACCAGATCACCTTTTTCCATTGCTCCATGGTCCAGTTCTGATGCTCACATGCCCATTGTAGGCACTTTTGGTGGCGGACACGGGTCAGCATGGGCACCCTGACTGGTCCGCGGCTATGCAGCCCCATAGGCAACAAACTGCAATGCACTGTGTGTTCAGACACCTTTTTATAGAAACCAACATTAACTTTTTCAGCAATTTGAGATACAGTAGTTCTTCTATTGGAATGGACTACATGGGCTAGCCCTCCCCACATGCATCAATGAGCCTTGGGTATCCTTGGACCCCTTTTGGTACGTTCTGACCACCGCAAACCAGGAACATCCCATAAGAGCTGCAATTTTAGAGTTGCTCTGACCCAGTGATCTAGCCATCACAATTTGGCTCTTCTCAAAGTCACTCAAATCCTTATGCTCACCCATTTCTTTTGTGCTTCCAACACATCAACTCCTGGGACAAAATGTTCACTTGCTGCCTAACATATCCCACCCACTTAACAAAAGTGTGATGAAGATGTGGCTGCCCTGAGACAAACTCATCACCACTTTTGTGTGCTGATGTCCTTGCAGGGAGCATATCATTACTGGCACTAAAGGAGCAGCACCCAGTGTCTGGAACATCTACGTACCAGTGATCTGTTGTACTTGATCAAACTGTTCTCCAGCACACTCCGCAGTCCATCATTACTGTCATGCAGCTTTCTATTAGCTGTTCTGTAATCGAAAAATGTAATGTCAGCCAAAGAAGCAGAAAGTTTCAAACATAAGTTACAACATAATAACAAGAATCAGACTAAAAGTGACGGTACAACCAGGTCATAACATTTGATGAAAGGGTATTTCTATAACAGGAATGCTTTAGCGCTCAACAATAGTGAAACTGTGCACTGAATAACAGCAATTCCTTTTGTCAGAGGTTATCACTCATTATTCAGCCAGAAAGTAACACTTAAAAAAAAATCAATATCGTTGTAGCAGATGGAAAATACAATACTGTTTGTTCCATACAGTACTCAAATGCCATCTCTTTAAAAAATGTTTTCATGTTTTCTAAATCTTTTTTTTATTAACCTTTGTAATTTGAAATGTGTACATAGTGTATAATAAACAGTTAATTGTAAATAAAAAAAATCACAGGCACTATTACAATGTGCATATTGTTTTTGATGTAAAATGGTATGCAGTTTGCTAATGAACTTGTTATGCTTTTACTGAATACTTTTTTGCATAAGTTTAATGGTAAACCTTATCCACATTTAACAAGTACGTTCCACTTAACTATCAAGACATAAATGCCAAACACAACCAAAGCAGATTACACTATGGGTGGATATCCTGGGACAACAGCAGTTATGTGCCGTAAGAGAGGAAACCGAATACATGGCTTAAGGGACAAAGACATTTAACATTCAAAAATAGTGGCTTAACTTTGTCCTTCACAAGGAGGCAAACAAGGTTGCCATGAGAGAACTTCGGAGTATAGCATAACATAATGCCCTTGGAAGATAATGACTTGTCTTTTATTGCCTTAACCCATAAAGGGAGTGCATATTGATTATTGAAATCAGTTTAATAACGGTTTCAGATAATAAAGATCAAGTAAATGATTAAGTAGGGGCTGACCACCATTGTTGTTAACTGCCCTCTTTGGATTATCTATAGTAATAACTGTGAGGATTAAAGTTTAATAAAACCTAGGAACAAAATGTAATATATTACAGCAGACCAGTCCTTAAATGTGCTGGGTTCATTAGTTTTCCTTTCTCAGGACATTTTTCCTTTCTTTACTTTCTTGATCTTGTCAGGAACACACATTCTGTGCTAAGGTGACAACCCTCACTCAATCTATTTTACCTATGGAAAAGCAGCATTGTCACACTAGGACTGAAAGTGTGTTATGAATACAGAACAGGATAACATAGACACCGGCACTCCAAGTAATGAATCAATGGCGTCTGTTTATTGACGTATGAAACATAGCACAATGCATCAAAAAGCAACGTTTCGGGGTCTCACAGGATCCCCTTCATTTTGCCTGATGAAGAGGATCCTGCGAGACCCCAAAACGTTGCTTTTTGATGCAATGTGCTATGTTTCATGTGTTACCCTGTGATTATAGACGGTTGCCATCCGTCGACTGCCGCAGCACCCGTCTTTTATAAGGAACAGCGGTTTTGAGCGCGATGGGTTCATGGACTGTATCATGAATACAGAACACCCCCTCCGCAGACCTATATCATAGGGGAGAGGTGTTCTGTAGTTCACAAAGAGAACCAGGAGCAGTGCAAACTGATATCAGTCGGTAGAGGGAGAGAGCATAGGAAGTTATCAGCTCATTGGATTTCTGGCAGCATCAATAGGTTTTTTTTGTTATGTTTTTTTTCTTATAAAACTTATCAAACAGATATAACAAAACACTTTCAGTAGTATATTTAACAATCGAAAAGGGAGCAAATAAGATAAATGCGTTATTAGAATTTACATACATTTAAAACATATATGAAGTTTAGTATAGTTCATCATAGTAACGAATAAGGGAAGTTTCCTGATAATGAATAGGGACTGAACCTTCCACCAGTCCAATACAAAATTGATAAAACTTCTGTATTTATGTAAATAAAATATACATTAAAGATATACATACTGAAGAATTTCAATTTGGTGTGCCAAATTTTCCCGTTCATCTGTATATTCCCTGATTATTTCCATATCTCTAAAAAAGGAAAATAAGCCCATCTTATATATGTTAAATGAATTATTGAAATGTATTTAACATGTAACAATAACTGTGACCTACCTTTCAGAGCTTAGACTCTGGTCAGCATAATCACTTTTCAGAGCATCAAGTTCGCTCTGAAGGAAAGAGATGCTTGTCTGGGCCTCCAGAAGCTCTTTCTTAAGTTTCTGATTTTCCTGTTGGAAACATGCAATGACAATTTATTTGCACTAATATTGTGAGCTTTACATGCTAATGTGTTACAAAAAAGCAGGCAATGAAGCCACACTAACCAATTTAAAATTGTCAACATGTAATTCTGGGTATCACCCACTAAGTAAGGAGTTGGTTTGTCTGTGAAGGTTCTCATTCATCCAGGTCAAGGTATATTTGTAAAAAATAAATCAAGCCAACTGGACTTGCTGTATTTTTCTTGAAGACGTTTCACTGGTCATCTGACTAGCTTTCTCAATTCAGAATGACTTGTACAAAAATTATCTAGGAATAGATAAGGTGAAGGTTGCTCCAATCAACATAATCTGTTTATCATAACCAGCATGGGGTCAGAGACCTCATGGAAGTAAGATGTTGATCGCATTTGCATGATTGGAGCTAGCAGGTGTTATTAAGCTGCCCAGAGAGAGGTGTTTAAACAGCATTGTATGTGCCCTATGTAAAAGTTATCTGAAAAAAAATAATGAATCAGTCCATGTCACTTACCAGAGTCAACTCATGCAATCGCTTTCTTAAAGCAGCCACATCTTCTTTTAAGTTTATGCTTTTTGATTGTTCTTCCAGCTAGTAAAATAGAATAGCAAAATTAAAAGAATAGGTTAATTAATTCAGTCATAGAGAGTTACCAGTCACGTATTCTATGTACAGTAATAGATAATATCAAATCAATAAACCAGTTTAGACTTTTCCCATGTTCTAGGAATGTATATAACAGATTATCAATTTTATGTAATTTGTTAGGATGTTTACAATGTAGATGGTGTTATGGCATGAAAGGATCTTTGGTTACCTTTTTCAGTTTCTTGATTGTCACCTGGAGCTCAGCTACTTCAGATTCATGTTGTCGCTTCAAGTCATTGAGGACTTCCTCTGCTTTTCTCTTCTCCTGGAATAGTAAACACATCAATGTAATCTGGTCATGTCCTGCTCAATGTCAACACTGAGAAAACATGGATGAAAGATACTCAATGCCTTTGATGAAATGGAAATGACTACTGCAGTACACATGAAAAGATTGGTTTGTATGTATTTTTACCATTGGTGACTTTCATCTGCAGAAAAGGATGGAAAATGAATCAGTCAAGACCGGTTCTCATCTTATATATCATGTAAGTGAAACACACATATAGCAGCTCAAAGAAAGTAAGAACATAAAAAAGATAAAAAATAATGTTTATAATGTTTTCTATAAAAGATTGTAGGGGTTGTACAGTAGACACTTCTGAAAACAACATCAATACACGTAGCCTGGCATTCCTGATCCTATTGCACCACACAGGGACTACTGGGCAATTTTTGATGATACTTAAAAGCAGACCTTTACCCCCTTTTACTAAAAATCACATAATCAGCTCTGCATCCTGATATGAATCATGTATCATTTATTAGTTACTAATTTTTTTTGCTTTTACTTAAAATTACTGATTTTCCGCTTCCTGGAACTCTTAGGCATTAGTGATGTAATCCTAGCCTAACAGGTAAATCATGGGAAGTTTACATCACCAGTGCATTACTGGGCAAAATCTAATCTGTAAACTGCAAAAATCTCAGGGAAAGGCATGTTTTTCCCTCTGATATGAGGTGCATGCTCACATGTCTTAGTCATATGTGCTAGAGATCCAGGAACATGGAGTCATCTGCTCTTATTGAAAATGGCCACTGTGAGAAGAATAGGGAATAAAATAAAAATAGGATATGCAAAAGCCTGCAAGTATCTGTTTGTAGATAGCCATTACTAAGCATTTCGAAATATGCCTTTGTTGTAATTTTTTTAATATTTTTATTCGTGGAAGAAAAAGAACAATATGAGACATACTCCAAAGTACAATTGCAGAAATACTATCAAGAGAAAGAGAACATAAAACAGCAGTAGGAGAGGGACACATTGTAATAACCAAACACAGCCAATACAGAAAGAAGAGGAGGGGGGAAGCAGTGCAGCTGCGGCCGACCTACACAAATCAGGATCCAGATCCAATACAGAGAAACGAAACAAAACTCTAAAGTCAACTACAGCTGATTTAACCCCTCATGACCAGCAACGTACAGTGTACATCACTGGCATCGGGGCTATTTAATTAGACTCCCGGCAGCAACTCTTTAAACTTGTAAAGCCGGCTGTACGCTAGAAGCGATTCTGGAGGCTCAGCTGCGTGATGAAGCTGAGTGATTTTTACCCGCCTCATAGTTCTCCTTTAAGTTTTACTCTAAGATGGCATGAAGGCCTATGTGTTTACAGTGGGATGATTACAAAAGTACTGCCTCTAAATAGTTACCTTCTTATATTATATAAAGAAAACACGCCAATTTACAATTCTAGTAAACACTGTACATAATGTATTGTGCATATCATTTAGTTTATTAACTACTGACACAAAGTGATTTTCTGCTTCATTGGACACCAGTGTAATTCCTACAACAGTATTTACAAATAGATATAGAAATATATTAAGTATATTAGGCATCTAATATCTGGATTATAAAATACAACAATTTGCCATATCTTTATATCCCTTAAAGTGACACTCAGGAGTTAAATCTTAGAAATACATTCAAGCACCTTAACTATTAACAAAAATGTACCTTATTTGTGTATCACTCAGCTGTAGATCATCAAATCATCTCTGAATTGGTGCTGACACTGTCCTTCCTTCTGGAGGGTGGCTACTTTTGTTCCCCGTGGTCTCTGTGTGTGTTGTAATGTAACCACGGCTCCAAGCTCGCTCCTGTGATGGACTACAATCTCGCGTTTAATTTACTAATTTTTATTGAGATGTATTCCATCACGAGAGTGAGTTTGGAGCAGTGGCTACTTTACAGCAGGCCATTTCTTATATTGTAATATTGTATATACTTGTATATATATGCTATATACCATTTATTAATATCATTTTACATATTAATCACTCCTACATATGTAAATAAGCATTATCAGGTCGCATCTTAATTCTTATGAATAATCCCGAAGCATGACGGCTCAGTTATAGTTTTTCAGAAATTTGTGTAGCTCTGCATTTTGTACCCAGGCACAAAACAATATGGTCATACAACATATTTATCGCTGTATCAACCACAAATGCACATTTTCCATTTTCTATACCAGCTTTGGCGAACCTATGGCACGCGTGCCAGAGTGGGCACGTGGGGCCCCCTCTGCTGGCTTGCGAGCCCAAGTCCGCATTATAAAAGGGACGCAGCGATAGCGGTCCCAGTCCAATTAGTAGTTAGTAGTTCCCTCTCTCCCCCCGCTGAACTGACAGCAGAAGAGAGGGGACTATTTCACCATTTTCGGCTGCCGCAGAGGAACACGTAGAGCTGCGGCAGCCGACAATTAAGTATTCAAAGCCTGTATTCATTAAATACAAAGCCTGCCGTGATTGACTCAGCGGAAGACAGAGGACACAGCGGGGATCATGGACAAGGTAAGAGACTGTATTCCCAATTGTGGCTCGGGGTTACTGCTTATGGTACTGAAAATTACCCCCGAGCCACACTCGGGAATACCACCATGGATCTTAGTGGGTGCATTTAAACATTATTTTGGGCTATACTCGTCTTATACGACGAGTATAGTCAAAAACCTATATTTTTTACACAAAAGTGGGGGGTCGTCTTATACGCCAGCAAATACGGTAATAACTAATAGTCATTCCTGTCCCGGCTGCAGTATTAATCTAGCCCAAGGATAATTTATTATTGCTGCGGGTAAGGGGGTGATTATTATTGCTTCATGGGGTTTTTTTTTTAATTAACTCCTGCCTAAAAACAATTCTCCCCCAGGCATCGATAATAATTGCCCCCCTTCCCCGCAACAATAATAAATTATTATTGCTGCGGGGAAGACTAGGTTTCTAGTTACGCCTCTGCTGTGTAGCGCTGACTTTCATTATAATGTATTGCTGGGACTTGTAGTCCCGCATAGCTGGTGGTATTCTGCATTGCTGTATGATAATTATACAGCAATGCAGAATAGCCCCACAGAGAGCCCATATAAACCACTTGAAAACCCTTATAGGCCACCCGAGAGCCGCACAGCCCCCCAGAGAGCCCATACATACCACCAGAGGGACCACAGAGCCCACCCAAAAGCCATAATAGACCGTCTGAGAGCTGCACAGATCCCCTGAGAGCCTGTACAGAATACCAAAAACCCCACAGAGCCCACCTGAGAGCCGCACAGCCCACCTCAGAACTGCAGAGCCCCCCTGAGAGTATTCAGGTCTAAATGAAGGGTTGGCACTTTGAGATACATAAGTTCGTTTAGTGATCCAGTTTGTAATATACTGAACTTGCTGCATGTGTTTGTTGCTTCCAAACTACTACACTAGATGGTGCTGAAAGTACATGGTAAATATATTATAATTCACATTTTATTTCAGCAAAAAATTCCTTTATATGCACTAGCAGAAATTCATTAAGTTGCTTTTCAAAGTGGGTAAGTGTAAAATAAAGTGTTTTTCCAAATGTACTGTATATTAAAAGAGAACTAATATCAAACCTTGTTTTTTATGTGTTGTTAAATCTCTTTTGGATCACATGAGTACATTTACTAATGCACTCCTGTGACCCAAACTCAGCATATAACAGGCCACTGGCTGATATAAGCTGAAAGTGCAGACTTGCTCTGCAGCTGGTAAAACCGACAATATTGTCGGGATCCACTCTGTTGCCTGGCTGAAAGCTGGCTCTGCCTCTCTAGAGCCGGAGCCAGTGGTGCTGCCCCCTGCCCTGTATGTCCCTTCAGTGAGTGATGGAGGAATAGTGAGAGAGAAGACTGTGAGGTGAGTGATCAGCGGTTTGTGATCGCTCAGTTTTCCATCTACAGAGCCAGCATGTGACAGCTGCAGTGTCACACGCTGGCCCAAAGTATTGGGAAGCGTATATTTAACTTTCTCAATACTTCTCCTTTAAACTTAAGCTAAAACTTAACCCTACTCCTCAGAGCCCTGAAACTAAACCTAGCCACTAAAATGAATTCTTACACACCCCCTCCCCCCAATTCCTAAAATACACCTAAAGCCTCCTGTGTGACAGTTTAAACAGGCCCCAAATCTAGTTATGTGATGCACAAGCCTCAGAAAAAAATTAAAGGAGAACTATGAGGTGAGTGCTTTTCACTCACCTCATAGTTCTAGCCGACCTGTGACAATGAGACTGTCACAGGTCGGCTCAGTAGATCGGGAGGTGAGCGAACACATACCAGCGTTCGCTCACCTCTTGATCCTGTCACGGCTCTCTGCCGTGACAGGGGAGGGGCTGGATTCCCTGCTCCACCAGCGCTGACTGGCGGAACGGAAGGGGGAGGGGGCGGGTACAGCTGGCTCTGCCTCTAGATAGGCAGAGGCAGCTGTCAGTCACGCAGCTGGGCAGATCCCGGCACAATTGTCGGGATCCGTTTCAGCGTCTCAGTATACCGCGAGCAGCAGCTCCCGGTATACTGCGGCGTCTCAGTATACCGCGAGCTACAGCTCGCGGTATACTGAGGCTAGGGTGACGGGAGGGCGCTAGTTTGTGTCCTCCCGTTATCCTAAGGAGAACTATGGGGAAAAGCCTTAACCCCATAGTTCTCCTTTAAAAACTTATTTTACCTCCCCTGAGTGAGCTAAATTGAGTATTAGCTGTGGGTAAGTATGTGTGGGGTGTTTAATAAATTAAATGTCAACTAATTGACAAACTGACACTACAACAAACCACACGAGGAAAAGATAATTCTACAGCAAGTGAAGTGAACATGAAGGGACCACTTACATGTTTGCATTGTGGTACCACAACAAGAGTCTTGTGTTACAAACTTTGTGACAGGTCCAGTTTTCAGGACATCTTGGTGTGTGAGCAGCCAATAATAATTATTATGCAATATGCTGTGCATTAAACACTGCAAAAATT